ATCTTTTGATAAAAAGAGGTGTCAGAAAGTTGCTGCAAAGCTTCTTTTTTGTAGAGGTTGGTGTGCCAAACAACGACTGAGCTGCCCTTATCGGGCGCTTTGATAACTATGTCTTTGCGTCTTCTAAGACTTTTTAGAGCTGACCACTCTTCAGAAGAGAGATTAGAAAATTTGGTAATACGTTTGAAATTGTGTTTGTTGATATCGTGGCGGCATTTTTTGATAAAAAGTCTATTGATGCGAATTGGCCCTCTGGGGGAGTCCATTCAGACTTTCAAGTCTGAAGTGTTTCGACAGTGTCTTTGTTCGAGGTGTTAGAATCATCCTCTTTGTTGTGAAAAAGGCTTTTAATGGAACTCTCTCTCTCTCTCTCTCTGTCTCTCTCTCTCTCCTCTCTTTCTTCTCTCTCTCTTCTCTCTCTCTTCTCTCTCGCTCTTCTCTCTCTCTGCTCTCTCTCTCTTCTCTCTCTCTCCTCTCTCTCTTTTCTCTCTCCTTTCTCTCTCCTCTCTCGCTCTTCTCTCTCTCTGCTCTCTCTCTCTGTCTCTCTCTCTCTCTCTCTCTGTCTCTCTCTCTCGCTCTCTCTCTGTCTCTCTCTCTCTCTGTCTCTCTCTCTCTCTGTCTCACTCTCTCTCTCTAGGCGTAAAGTGCACCACTTTTGTAACCTTTTGTATCTCAAGTAATGACTCGTTGAGGAATGCTGAAAAAGTCGTAATTAAAGCGTGCATGGGTCTATCAGTGTTTCGTTCGTGTTCTGTTAAAATTTCAAAAGAACTGACGCATTTTACTATTTTTTATTAACTTTTCAAAAGTGAAATGTAACCTTTGTGGCACCCTTTGGGGTAAGGGTGCATTTGAAAGGGTAATTGGCATTTTCCACGGCAATTAATCGATAGATCAATAGCTAATACACACCACTTGGTTCTCTTAACTACCCCGACAATTTTAAAACCAGTTTTATGCACGTTTCAAAAAATCAGGTGAATGTAAATGCCCTTTCATCCCTAGTCAAGATTGGCAATTCAATTTAAGCCCTTGAAATGGAGTTTTGAACTTGACAAGTCCACTACGACTATGTCACTCATCATTTTGAGCTAGATTTTTTATGATATGTAGTCCCATGCAAACTATTTATGCTGGCAAAGTTTCAGCTTTTTAGCTTTTTTTGTTGCTCTCAGCAACCATTTAACCAACATACACCCTTGACTGTAATGTACACCCTTGACTCAAAGAAGCTTTTTTATATAAATAAGATAAAACCTGAACTTAACAATTACAGCATTATAACACTTTTCTAGCGTTTTAGTTCACACCTTTGATGTTTGGTGTCATGTTATAATTAGTACCCACTTTTGTATTACATCGTACTGTAAATATTTTATTCATCAACTTGTCTGTTATATAATTACTCGCATTCTGTTACTCATTGATTGAAGATGGCATAAGCATGCTGAAACATGTCTCTCAAAAAAGTTGTCTATTTCTTACAATATTTGAGCTTCAATTGTCACATCTCACAGATGTGATTTAAGGTTAATAAACAATTTGGTGTTCTCAGGCGCATAGCGTCCAATACGCAAATATGCATGTGCATACTTCAAGTGACCAGAAAATTTTGAAATTTTTTGCAATTGTTTCTATTTTTACGCACAGTTTACTTAGGTTTCTAGATCATATGTACTTGTGCGTACTTAAAAAAATGACCATGCTACGCGCCTGGTTCTCAAGAGATTTAAAAAAATTATTACCAGTAATGTAATGTTGCATTTATATAAAGCTTTTATTTTACTACACTTTCAATATTGCTCTCTTGCAAGTACAATACAACTGGAGTACATTGATTCATTTACCCGTTTGGCTGATTAGTATCACCTCTTCGCATGGCTGCTGACTCTGCACATTGCAGAATTTTAAGCCTTGCTTGGAGACCAAAATAATCCATTTTAAAGGACAATGGTCATACAGAGGAAGACATTCTTCAACTCAGCTTGGTCATTAAGTTAACATTAACGTGAGCTTAGTTAAGTTAATGCTAGACGGCATCTTGAATGCTAGAAAAACAGTAGCCGAACAAAACTATATTAACGCTGATCAATCGACTATGTTAAATTCGGCATTGATTTCACTGGAATTTACCCCTCAGAGATAATAACTCAGTTATTAAAGTAAGGCGGGAACAATGCAGCTCCTTTCCTCTGAATTATATATTTATATTTAGAAAAGTGCTTCATTCATTATTTCACTGAAAACACACTATTCAGAAATATGGCGTTACTGAAGTGCCACAAAAGTTACACAAGTGCCAAAAAGTTACACGAGTGCCACAAGTTACATGAGTGCCACAAGCTACACGAGTGCCACAAAGTTACACGAGTGCCACAAAGTTAAACGAGTGCCACAAAGTTACACGAGTGCCAAAAAGTTAAACAAGCGCCAAAAAGTTAAACGAGTGCCACAGAAGTTGCAAGAGTGCCACAAAAGTTGCAAGAGTGCCACAAAAGTTACATGAGTGCCACAAAAGTTACACGAGTGCCACAAAAGTTACACGAGTGCCAGGTTACAGTAGTGCCATAAGTTACATACGTGCCCTTTAAGTTACACGAGTGTCACTTTAGGTTACACAAGTGCCACAGTGAGGTTATAAAAGTTCCTTTACATCTAGCTCTCTGTCTCTCTCTCTCTCTCTGTCTCTGTCTCTCTCCTCTCCTCTCTCTCTCCTCTCTCTCTTCTCTCTCTCTTCTCTCTCTCTTCGCTCTCTCTTCTCTCTCGCTCTTCTCTCTCTCTGCTCTCTCTCTCTCTTCTCTCTCTCTTCTCTCTTTCTTCTCTCTCTCTTCTCTAATATCCAGATTATTTCATTACTCCCACCGATGCAGCCCCAAACAGTTTCTTTTGAAACTATCAGCCTTTATCGGTCTGATAGTTGCCCCTTGGAAATTTGATGTTCTTAAAACTAGCATATTTGTTTAAGAACATCAAATTTTCGCGGGGCAA